GTTGTAGGTGTAGTGTAATCAGCGTAGTGTAGTGTAATGTACAAGTGCAAACCATCAAGATATGGGTCCCATGGGTGGTCTATGACATCGGCCAAGGCACCAGGGTCACTTCCTCACCCATGATTCAACAGATCCCGCCCAAAATGGAACGGGTTGATGGTGCAAGTTTCGATGGTAAAATTGCTGCGGGACCAACATGGACAAGATAAATAAAACACCATGTATTTACACATATTTATTTAGAAATCGACCACCACATGCATCAAAAACAAACGGGTGACGCTGTTGTTTCCGAAGAATAACCATGTCCAGATGAAATTATGTTGATCAACAATATCAGCTTCAAACTCATTGGGTGATGAGTCTTAAAGAGATCAAATGTGCATGCGCCTTGAGCATTCAAGGAAAAGCACATTGGTCTAAACATTTCTGGTACAAAGGAGTTCGTTCCCAAAAAAACCCTCTAACACATTTCATAGACATCACTTCTTTTCAGGGGGTTGACCACTAGTTCACCATCCTCACCACCATTTCAAGTGATGCCGAACCCCAAAACGGACATCTCCCGGGACATCGCGGCACCTTTTCAGATCTTCAGCGAATGGGGTCGGCTCACATGTTCAACTGTGAAACGGGTCGCTTGGATGGTCCTAAAGGTAGTGACCCAAGTAGCGGTGACACGGTGACCTCTTTCCGTAGGGGAAAATCAACATTGGCATTACTTAATTGTGATATTGTTGATTTTCAGATAAGTGTTAATTGATATCATCAGGTATTTCAGGGGTTCCCAATATTATTAATAAGATACCGTATCAATAATCAATAATATGTTGTATGTGTTAATAGCAGGTATCTTAGGGGATTTCGTAGGGGATAAAGTGGCTGGCTTAGACTCTGCACAATTGGACAGAACTGGATCGTGTGCTAACAAAAAAAAACCACCTTCGATTAAAAATTAGATAACATAATATGAACAAATGATAATATGAGTGTGTACCTTCAGCCAAGCAACATGTATAACATGTATCGGTGAGGATAATTCTAGTCTCACAAAGGAGATAGGATGGTTTTAAATGTGGTCCGTCGAACGCTGTCATAAATCATAATTAAGTTTCTTCCTCGTGTTTTGCACATAGAAATATGATTATGATGAACTATGACTCTGGCCAAAAATCTCAGTTTGCCATGGTTTTTGCCTATCACTAACTTAGCTATCTGGATCATCTGGCGGGTCCCGCATTGTATTCCCACCATTTCCAGAAACACCATTTCGGTCTTCTACCCGGGGAACATCCGGGAAAGCTGCAGAGGCTTGTTGTGAAGAGCGGCAAACAATGTCATGTCGTTCTTTGCGCTTTCAGTCGGCTAGGCTCACGTGGAGGTTTCGTGACATGGGGTTCCCCCAAAGTGGTTGCTTTATAATTGACATCCCTGAAAAAAAAGGCATAATTTGGGGGGTACCTTATTTTGAAAGGACACCTCCATGTATTCACAGAAGCATGGCGAAAGACAACTTAGTATTGGAATATCCTTCACCAATTGGTTTACCCAAATGTTTGATGATTTATTTGAACCCTCTCACTTACTTAGCGGTTTGCAACCCATTGATCTGGGGATATGAAAAATTGTATGTGCCATGGCCCAAGGCTTAGATCACCAAAAGGATGCAAATCAAATTTGGAACACTATAGAAAAACGCCTAATGGACATGATGAACCCATAAATTTTGACATAAATTGTGCTAAACCGCTGGGTTGTGGATCATTGGGGTATCATTTTAGCAAACGATTTCACTATCCATGGGTTTATTATTCCGGGGATCTTGGAGCTGACGATCATCGTCCGAACTCATCCCTATGGATCCAGAAGCTACTGTATGGGTGGATCCGTATGGAATATGATGATAGTTACATAACATTTAAGTACCCCAAAAAAATGTTCAACATATTATATTATTATATGGACTTAGCAAATATACACTTAACATTAACCCTCCTGTAATCAAAAGTGGCAATTGACAATCCCCGATTTGTAGATCATTGTCCCATGAACACCTCCATTTATAGGGAATTTCCCATTGCCACGTTTGGCTGCCGGAGGGTATTTACGAATAAACTTAGCATATCTTGGTGTTGTTCGATCACAACTTAGGATTGCTCTGCCTTCACAACGATTCAGACCTCCAACAGTAAACACGCGGCCTGGTGAAACATGGTGAAAGCCACGAGGCTGGGCGGTACCATAACCGGCTCTATGGATGTGCTCCCCAGTGAAGCGTTTGTTGGTTTGTGTTACCCATGAAGTAGTTCTATGCATCTACCATAAAGCCTCGAATTTCCCTATGTGTTTTCAGCATAACTTATCGATTCCAAACTGGGGCACCACTTACTGTCCATGATATTCCACTAATATCCCAGATTCTCCCCCAACATACCCTCTGGTAAACTAACATAGCTATGGAAAATCACTATTTTGGTAAATCCACTTTAAATGGTCATTTTCAATAGCTATGTTAGTTATCACTATTTTCCTATCAATTCATGGATAAATATTGGGCCCTTGTGAAATCACTGTGATCACTAGTATCACTGGATAGTATCCTGATATTCACTATTATCCCATTAGTGCATATTAATTTACCACTCATATCCCAGATTCTCCAATGAATATTGTATTATCCCTATATAATCACTATTATCATTATTATCCCATTAATTCATATTAATTTACTATCCAACAAGTGTGAGATCAGCATATTTTTGTTGGGCCCTTGTGCGCCTCATGACCAGCCGAGCTGCGCTTTCAGCGGACTCGGTGACTTTTCGGGATCAAACAATCGAGAAATGAGACGATGGAAGCTCCGATTTAAGGGCAGAAGTTGGTGTCAAAAATCAGAATCTGCTTGGTACAACTATGGCTATGGTTATAGTGGATATAGATTGGTATAGTTAAATACTATGGAGCAAACTATGGCTTCATGAATCAACATTGAATTTTCGCAGATTCAATGGATTGGTTTCGAACAATTTTCCGGAAACACATGTTTTTTTTCGGTGACTCCTAAACTGGGAAACTGCCTCAAAAATCACCAACTTTCATCACCCCACTTACTCAGTTAAAAAAATCACATTGGCAACTGGGCGGAAGGTCGTCTGATAAATCGCAGGAAATCCCTATACTCCTGATGCTAGGAACCACGTTTTTTCTCTGAATTTCCCCTAAAACAATGGGTTCTCTTTGCTGAAGACCGTATTCAACATGGAAGCCTTAAAAAATGCATCTTAAAACATGTTGTTGCCGACCTTTGATACCCTCCACATCGTTACTTAACTTTGGTTGGTTAGAATAGTATTGTATCATGATTGTCATGATCATTGTTATATCATTATTTACATTACTATCATTGAACTATGACTACTAATATTGCGATATGTATATAGGCAAATATGGTGAAACAAGAGAATCATAGAATCCTTTCATTGAAAAAAAAACAGCGTCTCGTGAACTCTCCACAATTGACGATTAAGGCCCCAGGAGATCCCAGGAGTTTCCCCGGGATGATGGTCACCCAATGGAATCCTATCCATGGAGAATCCCGTCGCAAAAAAAACGGGGATCGATTGTTGATGATTGTTGGATGATGTGTACAGATTTTAAATATGATATATATATATATAATGATATATATTTGGTATATGTTACATTGTTGGATGTTGATTTGTCAACACGGATTAACAAAAGGCCCAAATCGGCGAAACATGCGAAACTGGCCAGAATCCCCAGCATATTTTTGCCGGTGGGTGGTTGACCTACCCCCTATGAAAGTCATTTCGGATGATTCTTCCTAATATATGGAAAAATAAAAAATGTTCCAAACCACCAACCAGTTTGGAATGCTTCAAGAAATCTTGAAGTGTATTGGTTCCAGGTTCCCCACAATTCTGGAAAAAATCAAGGAAAACTGGCCGTGAACAGCGCCAAAATGATGGAACATGTTCAAGTTTCCTGGGAGTCCATCCCACTCAGTAGCTGGTTGGCAACAATGCTTATTAAACGTTGTGAATGGAGGAATCCCATGCACATATATATATAATTATATATATATATAACTATATATATGATTATATATATATAATTATATATATATATAATTATATATATTTATATATATATAAATAATTATATATATATGTATATATAGTGTAGTTATTATATAAATTATATAAGTTTTACTATATACTTTAATTTACACATAGAATGGTAATTCTAGACTTAGATCATATATATATATATATAATTATATAACTTGTAACCTTCCGGTGCCATCACCAATATAGCCAACTGTTGCATTGTGCCAGTTGGCTATACTGGTGTGTCTGCCAGAAAGGCAGAGATCAGCGTTTGCTGAGGACTGGCTGCCTTGGCACGGCGGCACTGTCCGGTCCCAGAGCCAGCATATGCCCAGAAAAATGAAAGGACTCGGAGAGTTGTAATATGAGAATAGGCTAGGCGATCTCTTTTGTTTGTAACATCTGCAACCCATGTGAACCATTGTCAACCATGATTTACTCGTCTCGCTTGACTGGTAATTAGTGTCAAATTAGGAAGACCCTTTGTGGCAAGCAGCAAACATGCATCAATCACCCCTGAAACCAAATTCTGCAGACACAAATAATCCAATGTAAATCGTCTAATGGCACAGCTTCCCTGGTTGCTGGTTTCGCCCCATATTAAAATATGAGCCAGTGGGCATCATCATCCCAAACAACTGCCAATAGTTGGAAAACACCAGCCAGTTAATGTCTCTCTGCAACTCCCTGTTTATTCCATCTGATTTTCTGATTCAAACCATATTAAATCATCTCTCTCTCTCTCTCTCTCTCTCTTCCCAGCACCATCCAGTGACCTCCAGGCCACTCGGCCACTCAGCTCGAAGCTCCACAGGACCCAGCGGTGTCCCAAAACCAGCCGAGATCCCAGCAGCACAGGCGACCAATGATCTATTGGGGGCGGGCCGCCTGTGGCGCAGGAGTAGATCGAGTTAAAACCCACCATGGAAACCAACAAACATGAGGAAGTATAAGGATTATATAAGGATATAAATATATATATATATATAAATAAGGATATATATATATATATATAAATAAACATATAAATATATAAATGTATAACTACATTTAAATCATTTAAACATACGGACTTTAAATATACAAACAGGTACTTTAGACTACCCCCAAGAATGTTTTCCTTGGCCCGCCCGGCCATTTAAACATACGGAAACCAATTAATTTAAACATACCGTAACTACATTTGAAGATACGAACTGGTATTTCATACTACTTCCGGGGTCTCGCGGTCTGGCCCGCCCTCCACATATTTAAATGTACCGTATATACCCTCAACCGGTTTGATACCTGTTTTGAGCAAAAAGAAATCTTTCGATGGTCACCAGCATGGAAACATCAAAACTTCGTTTCAAGTTTGCAGATAGACATATAGATAGACAAACAGAAAGACAGACAGGCACAGAGAGAGAGAGAGAGAGATAGACAGATAGGCAGATAGACAGATAGACAGATAGACAGATAGACAGATAGACAGATAGTTAGTTAGATAGATAGATGGATAGATAGATAGATAGATAGGTAGGTAGGTAGATAGAAAGAAAGAAAGATAGATAGATAGGTAGGTAGATAGAAAGAAAGATAGATAGATAGATAGATACATAGAACGAAAGAAAGAAAGAGGGTAGAGAGATAGACAGACAGACAGACAGACAGACAGACAGACAGACAGATAGATAGATGAATAGATAGATGAATAGATAGATAGGTAAGTAGGTAGGTAGGTAGATAGTCAGAGAAAGAGAGAGAAAGAGAGGAGACGTCAACCACCTTTCGATCCATCAGTGGCTTCGCTCTGCCATCCGCGATTCACAACAACCAGCCTCTCCTATAAGTTTCCTTTTTTTGAAACTTCTGCCACCGCCTTGTGCGGTACTACTGAGAGAGAGAGATATATATATTAATATATATGCAAGTTAACGTGAAGTTATGTTACTTATAACTTGAGTTACGGAAGTCAAGTTGAAGTTATGTTAACTTATGTTATACGATTTATAACTTAAGTTATAGCTTCGATAACTTCTTAGGATGTGTTTTGGGTCTTTTTTTGATATTCCATGATTTTTTTAAAAATGATTTGGTTTCTGCAGTTCCTTTGTTTTTTCCAGGATTCTCTTGCGTTTTTGGCCGCCAAATGCAACATTTTCATGGCAAGAACATAACCGTGCCGCTTTCAGCGGAGGTCCATGCCGGTATGTGCATGTTTTTCATGCAAGCATATTCAATGAATTTCTTTTCAGCGGTCTTTTTGAAGATTCGAAAAAACTCTCCAGCTTTAATTAGGGCCAAGGGCGCGACAAAGAAATGTAAGCGGCACTTTTCCAGGAAACACAAAGAAACACATTTTAAACACATACGCGTTTCCTACCCTCTACGGCCTGCCTGCTGGAAACACATACGCGTTTCCTAAGGTGAACGCAGTGCAACATGGAAACACATGCGTGTTTCTATCTGATTTTGTTGCGCTTGGGTGGAAACACATGCGCGTTTCCAATCTGTCACGGAAACACATATTAAAGTTCATCGAAACTGATGAGTATCACTGTGCAATAGGAAACACATTTTAAACACATTGCGTGTTTTCTTGCGACTGGCTGCTTGGAGTGTGGAAACACATGCGCATTTCCTTCATTGTTCTACGTTGTGATGAGAATCACATGTGCGTTTCCATGTCTTCTTTGATTTTTGAAGGGAAACACATGCGTGTTTTCTACGTTTGGGGTTCCTATGATGGGAAACACAGGCGCGTTTCCACATCCAGGCTCTTCAGCGTAGAGAAACTCTTTTTTTTAGATTCAGCGTTTGAAAGTCTCTCATCTGCGCAAGGCTATACAGCGCATGTTGTGTCTCCATTCCATTTTTTTTACTGCTTCCATGTTGGCGTTCGATGTTGCCCGCAGGCGGCACCGACTGGGTGATGAAGTCTGAAGCACCATTGTCTGCCGCTACCATGACGGTTTGGAAAAAAAACTCCTGTTGAGCACTGAAAAACTATCATGGCATAACATGACTCAAAATGAACAACCAAAAAATGCTAACTCGCGTACCTTCGATAACTTGATTTTATCTTTTTTTCCTTGGGATAGCCTAACTTATGTTATAACTCCGCATCTCATGTTATAAATTCAACATAAGTTGTAGAAGTTAGCCTATGTTATAACTTATGTTACCCCATGTTATAAATCATCTTGCAGAATATATAAGTCAAGTTGTATCTCGGGGGCCTCACAATGTATGTAAAAATGTCTATATTTGTAAATCTATACATGAGTATATACGTAAATAATGTTAACATGACCCACCCAAGAACGTTAACATCCCCCCACCCAACCCCCAAGTTCACGAAGCATACGTGACGTGAGAGTTAACATCCCCCCCAACCCCGAAGTTCACGAAGCATCGAGACGTGAGCAAGTTGACAAGGACGTTAACACCTCCCACAACCCCAAACCCATTAAACAAAAAAAACAAAAAGGGGGTTCGTTGCCAGTTGCCTGAACACGGCGCTGGGAATTAACATAGCGACATGTTCTATAAATTTTAATAGGCTAGCCTCTGGTAAACATAAAAGCTATAGAAAATCGCCTATTGATAGTTGAATTACCTATGAAAACACTGTGATTTCCATAGTTTGTTGTGAGTTTACGAGAGGGCAAGATTGCTGATTCAAGTTGCAAATAGTTGCCTTAAGCTTGGACAAACGTCCAGTCCAGCCTCTCATCTCCTGTAGTTTTCCCTAAGTTCAATTCTCTCCAAAATCCTCAACTTGGTACTGCCAGAACTTCCTTTTGAGGGAAAATAGGTATCCAAAATTGTCTTTCATGGTTGTTTAAATGTTTATATATTCATTATTTTCCAACTAAGTGACCATTTTGAAATATCCTGGTAGCCCGCATTGTCAGACAGACCCATATGGAACCCCAAAAACATCATGAAATCCATCAACTTTCCACACCAGGACTCTGCTTGTTCTTTGTTATTTTCTGTTCTGGCGGTGCCATGAGGTACAACCACGTTGGTTTTCAGCATTGTGGTTGGTTGGACAGGATTAAAGCATGAAACTTCAGTCAACAGGCGGTTTGTAATTGGCAACTATGATGATACAACTCCAACATCTCAGACATGATAATACAGTGACATATTATATATATACGTAAATTTGGTATACTGTAATGATTGTATAACTAATCAATGACATCCACCAACAAAAAAAGAAGCACACTGGTTGAGTATTGGATTTCTCGATTTTGGGGTCACAAATGCTGTCAACCTTCCATTTCAGGATTACTTCAGATTCAGCTTTATCTTTCCAATCATACTCCCATGCCCCAGGTATCCCCAGGTGCCCCGACCGCGTTCTGTCCAACTGGACGGCAATTGGACCTGTTGCCACTTGGAAAAAGAATACAGGACCGAATAACCCGACATGTCAACTTCTCCCAATAAGATCCAATCAGTAGCCAAAGAAAGGAGAAACTGGGATGGGAAAGGCAGGAAAGAGAAAGAGATGGTGGAGGATCAGTGTCTGTATGTATGTATCTATGTATGTATGCATGTCTGTATGTATGTCTGCCTTTGTCTGTCTGTCTGTCTGTCTGCCTGTCTGTATGTATGTATATATGATAAATATATATATATATGTATATGTGTGTGTGTGGGTGGGTGTGTGTGTGTGTGTGCGTGTGTCTGTGTGAGTATGTGTGTGTGTTTGTGTGTTTGCAATGTGTGTTTCTGTGGGGGGGATGTGTGTGTGTGAGAAACCCTGAATCAAAGGGTAAAAGCAGGGGGCCCGTGGACGCATAGATGGCACGGGCCAACGAAGACCCATCTATGTCGTCGTGAAAACGTACCTGCAAAACTCTCATCGTCAGAAATGGCAAGGTGGCCAAGCCAAAAACCACCCATGCCGACATGCCATGACAGGACATGACATGCTAACGTAGCAACATGACATGACGGTTATCATTTCATCTCATTTCACCCTCTCCAAATTCAAGGAGTTTACCAAAGTGTGTCTTTCATGCACCCGGATCTCTGATAAAGTGCCGGGGAAGCTTGGCGGTGCGTCCGCCGGGGATACCAGGTTACAAGAATAAATCCAGCCATAATGTTGCCAGAAGCCAGTTCCGCACAAGCATCCAGATTCCGCACAAGCATCCAGAAGTCTCCATCAGGGGGTTGAATGTTTTCAGAATAAATCCAGAGACCACGCCAGAATAAATCCAGAGTGAAATTTTCATCCCTCAGAATAACCCCGTGTCATCCCATGATTCATGTTCACTTAGCAATCATGTAAAAACCATCCCCCATGTATAGCCCGCTAGATGCTTTGCGGCCGACTTTATAGAGAATAGCCTGGTATGAACTGGAATGGCCACATGTCTGGAGTCTATAAAGTGGAAAGCCAACATGTTTTGTCTATAAAGTCAAAATCCAACGTTTGTATAAAGTCGCCTGGCCGCGTAAACACATAAAACTCGATGCAGGTTTTTGAGGGTACTTGTGAACATGTCCCATGACTATAAAGTGAGATGCCGAACATCCAGATAGTAATACTTGTGCAGAACAGTGGCACTATAATGTGGATTTCCGGCTAAACAACGATCGTTGTAGTAGCGATGATTTTCTTAATCGCGACGATGGCAGCATCGACATGATTGTCTATAAAGTTGAGGGGCCACGTTCAAACCTTGGGGGAATATCATCGATCTCATCGATGGGGAACCCAAAAGACTTCGAATGACTTCGAAACCGAACGAAACCGACAGCCAGACAAATATCTATATCGAAGTCGTTAACAGAATCTATGGTAAAACAAAATCTATGTTGGACTGGCCACTTTATACCCCCTCCCCCAACAGAGAATGCCTCTAACACACTCTCCTTTGAAAGGGGTCCTTGGGGTGAAAGGGGTCCTGGTCGCGCCGCGCGCGCGCGCGCCAAAATGGCTCCAATTTTGAGGCCTTTTTGGCGCGCGCGCGCGGCGCGCCCAGGACCCCATTCACCCTGAGGACCCCTTTCAAGGGAAATCTTCTTCTCTATAAAGTGGCCAGTCCAGGTAAAACCCTGAAAAAACACATTTTTACCTGGAATGGCCACTTTATACCCCCTCCCCCAACAGAGAATGCCTCTATAAAGTTGCCAGTCCAGGTAAAACCCCTGAAAACAACAGAGAATGCCTCTATAAAGTGGCCAGTCCAAGTAAAACCCCTGAAAAAACAGAATCTATGTTGGACTGGCCACTTTATACCCCCTCCCCAACAGAGAATGCCTCTATAAAGTGGCCAGTCCAAGTAAAACCCCTGAAAAAACACATTTTTACCTGGAATGGCCACTTTATACCCCAGCCAGTGGGCTCCAGGACTTTGACCCGGAAACGGAAGGACTGACAACAAGGTAAAGGGGGAAAACTACAACGGAGAGGTACAACGGGAAGGCTACCACAAGAAAATGAGACATGTCACGTTTATATACGTTTATTGTTTTCAATGTGTCATATAGATTGGCGATGATTGGTATATTGAATATGTTGTAGATGTATTTTGGAACATATGTATACCTATGATTCACACATCAATATAAATATATATATATAAATCATAAACACATGCCAAACCAAAAACTTTTAGCTGAGTATTGTATTCCCAATCTGTTGGCAAATGTCCAGCCGATTCACCATGCGTGACCCAACAAGATTCAAACTATGGATTGTTTACTTTTGAAAAAAAATACTGGGTGAATCTACGTATATCTATGACGACAATCTCCCAAAATCATCCTAAAAATCTATGGACATCTATGGACCAAAACCACGGCCACATGCCCATCCTCTATAAAATGGTTGCAAGAAAGTTCAGCTCTATAAAGTGGCTTGATCACGTCATTTCTGGCAGCCCCACCCTCTGTATAAACTGGCCGGTCCATGCCCATCCTCTATAAAATTGTTTGCAAGAACCAGTAAAAAAATATTTTCGAAAGTAAACAATCCATAGTTTGAATCTTGTTGGGTCACGCATGGTGAATCGGCTGGACATTTGCCAGCAGATTGGGAATACAATACTCAGCTAAAAGTTTTTGGTTTGGCATGTGTTTATGATTTATATATATTTATATTGATGTGTAAATCATAGGTATACATATGTTCCAAAATACATCTACAACATATTCAATATACCAATCATCGCCAATCTATATGACACATTGAAAACAATAAACGTATATAAACGTGACATGTCTCATTTTCTTGTGGTAGCCTTCCCGTTGTACCTCTCCGTTGTAGTTTTCCCCCTTTACCTTGTTGTCAGCCTTCCGTTTCCGGGTCAAAGTCCTGGAGCCCACTGGCTGGGGTATAAAGTGGCCATTCCAGGTAAAAATGTGTTTTTTCAGGGGTTTTACCTGGACTGGCCACTTTATAGAGGCATTCTCTGTTGGGGGAGGGGGTATAAAGTGGCCATTCCAGGTAAAAATGTGTTTTTTCAGGGGTTTTACCTGGACTGGCCACTTTATAGAGGCATTCTCTGTTGGGGGAGGGGGTATAAAGTGGCCAGTCCAAGTAAAAATGTGTTTTTTCAGGGGTTTTACCTGGACTGGCCACTTTATAGAGGCATTCTCTGTTGGGGGAGGGGGTATAAAGTGGCCACTCCAACATAGATTCTGTTTTTTCAGGGTTTTACCTGGACTGGCCACTTTATAGAGGCATTCTCTGTTGGGGGAGGGGGTATAAAGTGGCCAGTCCAACATAGATTCTGTTTTTTCAGGGGTTTTACCTGGACTGGCCACTTTATAGAGGCATTCTCTGTTGGGGGAGGGGGTATAAAGTGGCCAGTCCAACATAGATTCTGTTTTTTCAGGGGTTTTACCTGGACTGGCCACTTTATAGAGAAGAAGATTTCCCTTGAAAGGGGTCCTCAGGGTGAATGGGGTCCTGGGCAGCTCTATAAAGTGATTTGGGTGATGTATCTCATGACTCTATAAAATGCTCTGCCGCAATTTTCTTTCTATAAAGTGCCCTGGATGCAGCACAAATTCTTCTTCTTAAAGGGCAAGTTTCACTCTATAAAGTGCTTTGCCATGTATACAGCCCCAACAGAAAGATATTGGCCCGAAATCATTGGGGAGGCATGTTTCTATAAAGTGGATGGTGTGACATATTATGGCCATTCTTTGAAGGGAACCAACGGTCTATAAAATGCATTGCCGCATATATTGAGTCGTTTCCTTGTGGGGAACCAGCCGGGTATAAACTGGAAAGCCAACGTTGCTATAAAGTCATCTTCCAGGTCCAAGGGCATGTTTCTCGCGCAAAACACGGCTTTATCCCCCATTGTCGGTATATAAAGTGGCGACCGGAAACCCACTTTATAAGCGCAAAGGATGTCCACTTTATAGTGAACTATACATGGGGGATTAAAAACCTAGCACTGAGAGAAACAGCACCATGCCGTTACCAGACTTTTTTGTCGGTCGTTGGTTGCTTGCTGAACAGCCGGAAATTCGGATGCAGTGGTTTGCTTTTGTCAGCCTTTTTCGTGGAAATTGAACTGAACGCCGTGAAACTTCCTTTGGTTTTTGTTGGAGCTAGAAAAATGCCACACCTCATTCATGACACGCACGGCCCATGTACACGGAGATTTGAGCACCACGTTCCATGTCACAACCCAGCACTGAGAGAAACAGCACCATGCCGTTACCAGCCTTTTTTGTCGGTCGTTAGTTGCTTGCTGAACAGCCGGAAATTCGGATGCAGTGGTTTGCTTGTGTCAGCCTTTTTCAGTGGAAATTGAACTGAACGCCGTGAAACTTCCTTGGGTTTCTGTTGGAGCCAGCAACGAAACGCACGGACATTTGAACACCATGTTCCATGTCACAACACAACACCGTGGAAACAACACACTTGATTACGGACCATTTTTTTTTGGTTCGGAAATCGTGCCCTAGCGGCTTGCTGTGTGTGAGAAACCCTGAATCAAAGGGTAAAAGCAGGGGGCCCGTGGACGCATAGATGGCACGGGCCAACGAAGACCCATCTATGTCGTCGTGAAAACGTACCTGCAAAACTCTCATCGTCAGAAATGGCAAGGTGGCCAAGCCAAAAACCACCCATGCCGACATGCCATGACAGGACATGACATGCTAACGTAGCAACATGACATGACGGTTATCATTTCATCTCATTTCACCCTCTCCAAATTCAAGGAGTTTACCAAAGTGTGTGTTTGTGTTTGTGCGTGTGTGAATGTGTATGTTAAAAAGTATGTGAATGTTTCTGTGTGTATGTTTGTGTGTGTTAGTCACCAAGTGCCACACTTGCCACGCAAACAGCCGCGGCGACCACGGCGACAACGGGACCCAAGCGCGCCACCGGACAGTGCCACGCCTGCCACGCAAAGTGACGGTCGATGTCACCAAGTGCCACGCCTGCCACGCAAACAGCCGCGGCGATCACGGCGACAACGGGACCCAAGCGCGCCACCGGACCCAGCTCAGTGCCATAAGTGCCATGCCTGCCACACAAAATGAAGTTGGATGTCACCAAGTGCCACGCCTGCCACACAAATAGCCCTTTAAACATGTTTAAAGAGTGCCACAGACCTCGCACAAAAATTTGGAGTCCCAATCTCCCAAACAAACGCCAGAGTGGCATTGGCCGAAATTCTTGGCGCCGCGTGGCGCTGCTGACCCTGGCAGTCAACCCAAATGAGGTGCTGGGATGAAACTCCAACTGCTTTGGGGACATGCCATGAACCAGTTGACATTTAAGGGAACATGATACCTACAAGTCAATGATGTAGAACATTGTAGAACAACATCATGAAACACAATGATCAAAAAATGGGGACGTCACCGATCGAAACGGAGAAATTGATGGACATGCGGGGCACGTAGAGTATACATATCTTAGAGCATCATTAACATCAGAAAGAAAGAACAAAAAGAGGTGGCGACATTGCAGCGGTTCAAATGTGAGGTACAAATGACGGATTATTACTGAGTGCCATGCCTCTTAAAATACTCTTCCTCCTGCAAAAAGTGAACCAAGTATTGAGCTCATGATTACATTCAACACGCAGCTTATATGTTATTCTTTGTTGAGGGCAGATAATGTGGTCTCAGGAAGTATGAATCCGTTCACACCTGTCTGATTGTATTGGTGCTGATAGGATGGGTCGTCGCAATGTAGCCAACCATATAACAAAATAATATATAACCCCCTTGTGAATTTCAATTGTCACCGAATGTGCCCCATTCTATAGAGGTACCTGGGTTCCACCATATGGGTGCACACAAATAATCACTATAAAATCAGGAAAAATAAGATTGCAAGAAATACGTCCCTATAAAATCAAGAAAACACAGAGCACCACATAGTTACAAATGCCTGCTTGTAAAAACCAAATCTCTATAAAATCTAGGGACACGGGCAGGGTTAGAGTTGGAACGCCTTTTTCCCCTGAGAGTATCTTAAAGTCATCCACCTGGCCCACTATAAAATCATAATTTTCAAAATGGTGGTTTTACAAAGTCTGTTTAACCATGTGGATGCTCAATAATGGGGAACCTGGTTTATGATTTTACAGTGGAGCTGTTTGGCAGGCATGACGATATAAGGTGGACCTGGATTTTTGATTTTATAGTGGGTTCAAAATGCATCACAATTCGCTCATCCACAATAAAAATATTACTGTGATGCAGCGATTGCGTATAACACCAAGTTTGTATCAAAAACATCCCCTCCATTTATAAAATCATAATCTTTGGGCCAACAAATCAGAACCATGCCAAAAATCGCCTCTCTATAAAATCAGGTTCCTGGGTCCCCCTGAATTAGTCATAAGCCACATGTTGGCTTACAAATGGTTTACAAATAGCCTTC